CGGGCACATCCCCAGTAGGAGATGTGCAGGAGGCGGCTGATCGATGTTTCTCTCTCATCGATGTTTCTAACTCTCTATCTCTCTCCCTTCCTCTCTGTAAAAAATCAATAAAATATATTTAAAAAAAAAACTTCCTGGAAATAAATGAAAATGAAGACATAATGACCCAAAATCTCTGGGACACAGCAAAATCAGTCCTACGAGAGAAGTTCAAAGCACTACAGGCTTACCTCAATAAACAAGAAAAATCAGCAATAAACTATTTAACCCTATCACTTAAAGAACTAGAAATAGAACAACAACAAAAGCTCAGAGTAAGTAGAAGGAAGGAAATAATGAAGATTAGAGCAGAAATAAATAACTTAGAGACTAAAAAGTAATACAAAAAGTATCAATGAAATTAAGAGCTGATTCTTTGAAAGGATAACAAAATAGATAAACTGTTAGGCGGATTCATCATGAAACAAAGAGAGAGGACCCAAATAAGTAACATAATAAAAGAAAGTGGAGAAGTAACCACTGACACCACAGAAATAGAAAGGATTGTAAGAAAATACTATGAACAATGATATGCCAACAAGCTGGACAATATGGGTGAAATGACAAATTCCTAGAAAAATACAATCTCCCAAAACTGAATCAGGAGGAATCAGAAAACCTGAATAGGCCAACAACAACTAATATAAAAGAAGCAGTAACAAAAATAAAAAAACTCCCACAAAACATAACTCCCACCAAGTCTGGATGGCTTCACAGGGGAGTTTTACCAAACATTCAAAGAAGAACTAAAACTTATACTCCTCAAGCTATTTCACAAAATCCAAGAATAAGGAACACTTTCAAACTCTTTTTATGAGGGCAGCATTATCCTAATTGCAAAACCAGATAAAGACACTACAAAGAAAGAGAATTACAGGCTAATATCCCTGATGAACATAGATGCTATTATCCTCAGCAAATTATTAGCAAATAGCATCCAGCAATATATTAAAAATATCATACACCATAACCAAGTGGATTTATTCCAGGGATGCAAAGCTGGCACAATATTTGCCAATCAGTAATGTGATACATCACATAAACAAATTGAAAAACTAAAATCACATGATCATATCAACCAATGCAGAACAAGCTTTTGACAAAATCCAATATCCATTTTTTGATTTAAAAAAAAATCTCAGCAGACTGGGACTAGAGGGAGCATATATCAACATGATAAAGGTCATATATGACAAACCTACGGCCAACATCATACTCAATGGGCAAAAAACTAAAAGCATTTCCCCTATGAATATGATCAAGGCAGGGATGTCTGCTTCACCACTCTTATTCAACATTGTACTGGAAGTCCTAGCCACAGTGATCAGTCTAGAAGAAGAAATAAAGGGCATCCAAATTGGAAAGGAGAAACTAAAACTCTCATTCTTCACAGATGACATGATACTGACAATAGAAAACTCTAAAGACACCATCAAAAAACTGCTAGGTTTAATAAATGAATTTGGCAGTGTAGCAGGATACAAAATCAACACCCAAAAATGTATGGCTTTTTTATACACCAATAATGAATTATCAGAGAGAGAAGCTAAATAAAACAATCCCATTTACCACTGCAACAACAAAAAAATTAAGATACTTACGAACAAACTTAACCAAGGAGGCAAAAGTTACGAGGAAAACTACAGGACATTAAAAAAGAGATAGAAGAAGATATAAACTAGTGGAAGAATATACTGTGTTCATGGATTGGTAGAATCAACATCATTAATATGTCCATACCACCCAAGACAATCTACAGATTCAATGTACTACCTATTAAAAAACCAACAGTGTATTTCACAGAGCTAGAATAAATACTCCAAAAATTTATATGGAATCAAAAAAGACCCCAAATAGCTACAGCTATTTTGAGAAAGGAAAGAAAGTTACTACAAAGCCACTGTAATCAAAACAGCCTGGTACTGGCACAAGAACAGGCATATCAACCAGTGGAACAGAACAGAGAACCCAGAAATCAACCTGAGACATTATGCTCAATTAATATTTGACAAAGGAGGAAAGACCATACTACGGAGTGAAGCCAGTCTCTTCAATAAATGGTGTTGGGAAAATTGATGGGATAGATGCAGGCAACAAAATGAAACTAGACAACCAACTTACACCATATACAAGAATAAACTCAAAATAGGTAAGACTTAAATGTAAGTTGTGAAACCATAAAAATCCTGTAAGAAAACATAGGTAGCAATATCTCAGACATCTCCTGTAGCAATATGTTTACAGATACATTTCCTAAGGCAAAGTAAACTAAGGAGAAAATAAACAAATGGGACTACATCAAAATATAAAGCTTCTGCAAAGCAAAATAAACAATCAACAAAATGAAAAGAAAGTTCACTGTATGGGAGAACATATTTGGCAATGATACATTTCATAAAGGATTAATATCCAAAATATATAAAGAAATCATGCAACTTAACAAACGGAAGACAAACAATCCAATTAAAAAATGGGCAAATAGACACTTCTTCAAAGAGGACATACAGATGGCCAGGAGACATATGAAAAAATGCTCAAGGTCTCTAATCATCTGAAAGATACAAATCAAAATGACAATGAGGTACCATCTCATACCTGTCAGAATGACTACCATCAACAAATCAATAAATGACAAGTGCTGGAGAGCCTGTGGAGAAAAGGGGACCCTTTTACACTGCTGGTGTGAATTCAGACTGGTGCTTCCATTATGAAAAATGGTATGGAGTTTCCTAAAAAAATTAAATATGGAACTGCCATTTGACAGTGATCCCACTTCTAGGAATATGTCCTAAGAAACCTGAAGCATCAATCAGAAAGAATGTATTCATCCCTATGTTCATAGCAGCACAATTTACAATAACTAAGATTTGGAAACAGCTCAAGTGCCCATCAGTAGATGAGCAGATAAAAAAGTTGTGGTACAGTTATACCATGGAATACTATTCAGCAATAAAAAAGAAGAATCTCTTACCCTTTGAGACAGCATGGATGGACCTGGAGAGTACCATGCTAAGTGAAATAAGTCAGTCAGAGAATGGCAAGTATAACATGATCGCACTCATATGTGAAATCTAAGTAACAAAATAAACTAATGAATAGAGTGGATCCAGAGACATGAAAGCATGGAACTGAGTGCAGAATCTCAGAGGGAAGTTGGGGGGATGATGGGTGGGGAGGAGGTAATCTACCAAAGTCTTTGTATGCATATATGCATAACCTATGGACATAGACAATAGGGTGCTGAAGGCTTGGGGCAGGGGGGTGGGGGTGGAGAAGGTTGGAGGGGTCAATGGGGGGAAAAAGGGGACATATGTAATACTTTCAACAATAAATATTTTTTAAAAATTGGTTTTGTTGGCTTTAGAAGGCTATGTGAAAACAATTTTTGAAGCCTATGTGAAAAACAATTTATGCTTTTTGTTTCACTTTTTTGAACAATTATAAAATCTCCAGATTGATGCACACAGTTTGGGGCCCAGTTACTCAAGAGTAACCATGGGAAACTCTTGGTGAGCATTTTGTTCCCTTAAAAAAAAAAGAAAAGAAAAGGTATGTTCAAAGTGAGATTCATAGTTAATAAAATTAGATCATTTGTCTCACCAAATAACAATAAAAAGTATAATCCATGCTTATGTAGAAAATAGTCAACACATTTCATATAGAAAACATTCTTCCTTTATAAGTACCCACAAATTCTTACTTGTAATCCCATTACAACACTGAATTATATACAAAAATAAATCACTTTAAGGTAGACAAACCAGATATAGTTATAGTTACCCTTTTTAAAAAGACAATTTAACACTTATTTAACACATAAAAATGTACAATACAATTAATAATTAGGAGTTAAATAAATACACTGCAGCTAGCAGCACAAAGTCAGTCTTCTAATAGGGTATTATTTTAATAACAAAGAACAAACAAAATTAACACTTGTCCAGATAAAACTTTAGAAAATTTTCTATTCATTTCAGATATTATAATTAATTTTGATTCCAGTAGTTACCCCCACCAAACATACTAGTATCATACATATTTTGAGTTGAGCATTTTTTAAATTTAGAAGTTTTTGCAAGTATTGTAATATTTAGACCTCAGGTTTAATTACTATTCATATCCTGCATTTATTTCCTGAATATTATACCAAACAGGTAGCAGGCAAGGCATTGTAATGGGTGTCCAATGGTGTTAAAATTAATCTTATGCACTTTTTTTAAAGGTGAAAGAGTTGACTTCTCTAGCTGAAAGGAGGTAACCTGTATAGACCTCAGAATGGTATGTCTGAGGTAAAGCTAGATCAAACAAATTACTGAAGACTAGAATCCACATGCCTGGCTGTTTCCAAACCCTACTCTGGCATGTGAATGTGGCTTAAAGGTTGCCAACTATCTTAAAGTAAGAAATACAATGTGGTGAAGTGTTAAGAGGTGTACCCAAATCTACTTCATCTTCTTGTTCTGGCCTAAGCTTAGTGATTAATTAGTACCCTACTTTTTCCATAGGCTCAGAAAATATAGTAACCTATCAGAGGTACCTCAACATCACTCTGGAAGCATAGTGGAATCTCTCTTGCTAGGCAGGTTTATTAATCTCCAGATGTTCTTTGTAAATAGTTATAAAAATGTCTGTAATTGCCACCTGTCTGCTGCCTCCTGGACATATAGATGCAATTTGAGTCACACTGTATGAACTTTGGCAAGCTATCTTCCCTGAGTAGATTCAATATGGAAGCTTATATAGCAATAGAAAGTTATTTTATTTGAATGTTTCTTGTCCTTACTTTTAACATACCAAAGACCCAAGTTCAGATTTTCATTCTATGAACAGGTGTGACAGATGATGTTTCATATTGACACCAAAATGAAGGAAATAGCTATTTGAGTCTTCAAATGCTAGAGTGTAATCATACACAGGAGATAGAAATGATCCCATGTTTATAGCACTTTATTTTCACAGAATAATATATGGTCCATCATACTTAATATATAACCAAAATACAATATTGGAATATAAACTGAAATTACCAGTATAAATATAGGGTATCCCATAAATGTATACATTCACTGTGAATGATTATAAAGGCAGTGTTTATTAAAATGCATTTCATTTTAAAGACAAATCAGCTGTTAAAGTACATATACATTTTTGGGACACCCTGTAGATAACTACACTGACTCTAAGTACTCAGTGCCCAAACTAAGTGCTTATGATGACACCAAGGCAATCACCTCTTTGTGTTTGAGGTTCATAGATAAACCTGCTGACTCTAATTGAGAGCATATGTGTATAAGTTTATACACACTGAAATTTTATAGTTCAATTCTTAAAGACTTGGTGACAAATTACTACATGGACATGTCAACATTAATGATGGTAGAGTATAATGCTCTAAATAGGTTCTATTATAAAGATGTGAATATCTCATATAGGTAAGACAGAGTGTAACTAAAAAATTCTTAGTGCCTCTGGTGATTACTTCCCAGTAGCTTGGAGTATTAGAAATGTGTTCTGATATTCTGAATATATATATATTCATTTCAGGCCACAGTCATTTAGCATAATTCAGTTGTCAGGGTAGAAGTAGTATGTTGGCTTACAGAGGATTTCACATGGAGTTGGATGCTATCTTGCAAATCTTGTCTTGAAAGCCGTCTTCTGAACTCATTAGTGGTGAAGTAATATATGATTGGGTCAAGGCAAGAATTCAGACTAGCAAGACACAGGGCAACAGAATGAAATATCAGAATCACCCTTCTGGCTAAGCAGCTTTTAATTTCATTGGACTTGACCAAGAAATCTAAAGGAAAACTGAAGTGATAAGGTGCAAAGCAAATTAAAAACACTCCTGCACAGGTTAGAATCATCTTCAAGGCTTTCTTTTTTTCTCCAAGGTCTTGGGCCACAGGATATTTATCTTGCAGTGATAAAACAGCCTTCCAGGTGCAATATAGGACAATCAGAAGAGGAGTAACAAACCCAATCAACTCGCCAATGGTCACCATGGCAACAGACTGGGCCAGACTGACATCCCTGGTAGGAAGATCTACAAAGCATTTGGTTCTGTTGCCTGGGGTGTCATCACTTATTCTCAGGAGAGGAAAGAGCAGACAGGCAAGGCAGATGATCAGCCATCCAGCAATGCTTATGTATAGGTCATATTTCTGTTTGCAGTCATGGAAGCGAAAGGGGTACATGAGAAACCAAAATCGTCGCACACTGATGCAGACCAAAAAATAGATGCTTGCATACATGTTGACATACTTCAGGTAGAAACAGAACATGCAGAGACCAGGCCCAAATGGCCAGTCATGATTCAAGTAATAAAAGATCCTCAGTGGCAGGGAGAGAACTTGTAGTAAGTCAGCAATGGCTAAGTTTATCATGAATATCACTGCTCGTTTGGTTTCTTTCATATAGCCATAAAATATCCACAAGGCTAATATGTTTCCTATGAGACCTGGCACAAGAATGACAGTGTATGTCACTGCATAGATAAAGTATCGAAAATCTGTATTGTATCCATCTGGCCCATCACATGTGTTATTAGCAGGCATTTTTCTTCTCAGAGAAAGTTTATTTGCCAAATGGTAGTTCAAAACCTAAATTTACAATCAACTACTGCTCTTTCTTAAAGATTAACCATCAATGGGTTAAAGAGACTGACAATAAAATAACCCCCTCCTTACTGTAAAGGTATGAACCTCTACACATGATTTTCAAAGAACTATCTGCATGTTTGCTTTGGATTTGTCTACAGTAATGACATGGAAGTCTAAGTGTGCAAGCACAGATAACAAGCTGTTATAATTTTCCCCCTTTGTTTACTCTGTTATAAGGCCTTCTGGGACATCACAACAGCTGATTATTTCCCATTTCAATCATTAATATTTCATGTAGCAGTTTTTCTAATTCCCATATGATGATAGCCGTCACTTTACAGGTGTTTTTCAGGTTTTCTTTTTATGGCTCACATAGAAGAAAGGTTTGCTTTAGTATTCAGTGGGTCTGCAACTCTTCAGAGATGATCCATGTGGATAAGGCAGAGCTGCAAGTGAAGAAAAAAATATTATTGACTTGCACTTTTTGCAAAAAGAAAGAAAGAAAGAAAGAAAGAAAGAAAGAAAGAAAGAAAGAAAGAAAGAAAGAAAGAAAGAAAGGAAGGAAGGAAGGAAGGAAGGAAGGAAGGAAGGAAGGAAGAAAGAAAGAAAGAAAGAAAGAAAGAAAGAAAGAAAGAAAGAAAGAAAGAAAGAAAGAAACGAAAGCCCAAGTGTAGAAAAATCTGTTTGAGTAGGAAGTTCTGATGTGAATGAGGGCGATAGTCCACTGTTTCGATAAGCACATCAAAGTATAACTAGAAGAATGCTCAGAGGCAACCTAGCCCTTTGCTATTCAAAATATGATCCTGAACCAGCATGTCTTGAAAGCTTGTTAGAAATATAAAAGACTCTCCTGCCCCTCCCCCATACCTGCTGAGTCATGATCTACAGTTTAACAATAACTACAGGTCATTCTTTTATGTAACTAGGGGCCCGGTGCACGAAATTCATGCACTGGGTGTGTCTGTGGCGGGGAGTGTCCCTCAGCCCCTGCCCCCTCTCACATACTGGGAGCCCTCAGGCATTGACCCCCATCACCCTCCAATCGCAGGATCAGCTCCTTGCCCAGGCCTGATGCCTCTGCCAGAGGTGTCAGGCCTGGGCAGGGGACCCTCATTTTTCCCCATCACTGGTTCTGCCCCCAGCCCAGGCCTGATACCTCTGGCCCCGGCGTCAGGACTGGGCAGGGGACCCCCC